CCCTCTCTAGGGAAAAAACACTGAGCAGAGGGACGTGAGAGTTGGAAACGTGAATTTTCGTTTTCACGAAGAGATGGGCATCTTTACTAGTTAATTTTGGCTAATTACCTTTTGTGTTCTTTCTCATTACTGAGGTCATTGTGAAAGTTTTGCAAATCAAAAAAGGAGAAACTTTTCTTGCAATTATCTCGAACGCATTTTTCTTCCAAAGCCACATGCTAGTCCCCCGCTTCGTGAAAACGATGACGAATTTTCCTCACCAAGAAGCAATGTCGTATCGCCAACGACATTATTCACACTATAACACGCATTACTGAGGACCTTAATAAACAACCGAATAACATCATGTCGCTTGTGCTTGAAACACTTTCAAATATTACATTGATGTCAGCCTGTATGGAGTACCCTCATTACATTCAAAAAGTTAAAAACAGATGATTTCTTATTTAAAGTAACGTGTGCATGGGACATCTGTGTCGTGACTCATGCATATTCCTTCATAATAACCCCACCCATGTCAGTCCACCGAACACAGTAAACTCGGTATCCTTTTCTTTTTGTGATTCGCTTGTTCTAAGCATGCATATTCATAAGCTTGTTTAAGTTATGTTCATTCTTTTGCGTTGCTCATTCAATGCCAATGTCAGTGATGAATATTCATTAGTGAAGTCAAGCAGTAGGCGGTTCAATACAGTAGACCTAATTATGATTAGCAACGCGTCGGAAATATTAATAAATCGGCGTTTCCCGTATTTTTGCTTGTACGGGAAATGAAATAACTCCTAAATACTACTCAGACTTTTCTATATGTCACAACGCCTTGTCGATATTATTAGATGTCCCGATAGCAAAAAAATAGCTCTCTGTACAGGATTTGAAGCCGCGAGTTGATTTATAAACTCTAAGTGGGTTCTCTGATGGGACTTAAAAACAGATGCATGATAAGTAAGATTATTTTGAAGCTTTGCATGGTGGAAGAGACATGAGAAATAGGTTTGTGGGTACACCATAGAATTCGTCTCTTTTGGACGAGATGTGGTTCTTAAAAGAACCAGTGAGTCTTAGCTCGACATTTCGGCCAGTGTGTTCTGGCTGTCCTCAGAGTCTTAACTTGACGTTTCGGCCATTGTCCTCAGGAGGGTGTGAGGACGGCCAGAGCACACTGGCCGAAACGTCGAGTTAAGACTCACCGGTTCTTTTAAGAACCACACCTCGCCCAAGAGAGATTAATTCCACGGTGTACCCGCAAGCCCATTTCTCACATGCACGATACAAAGTGCTCAGACATCCATGGTAGTTATCATTCTATTATTTGTCTTTATTGCACAACCCCAACAAATATGTACACTGCTCAATTGGCCAAATGCAGTTGGAATACTTTCATACAAAATATTTACACTGTTGAATGAAATTTTGAATTAAAAACTACTCTGATGAGGAAAGAAAACAAGTCCAGGGTAATCTCCTCCTGAAAGCTCTCCGCAGTAGGAAGTTCTGAAGTTTAGTGTTGTTTTCATAATCTTGTCACCAGTAAAGACCTTTTACACTCGTAATCAGTAGACACAGTTTGGCTGGTGGGACATCGGTCTTCACTTACAGAAATTCAGTATAAATAATACCACATTTTATATACATAGCTTTCAACCCCATTATTATCAGCATCTGAAGCTAAACGTAATTCCCTTTGCATGAATTATGCAGGCTACCTGCAATTGGGGACAGCGAAGTCTCACTTAGGGTAAGAAACTCCTACATATCTGCCAGTCTTCTAAAATGATTATCCAACCTGAAACTGTTCGCTAGCTACATGAATTGGTTTTGTGTGAAATAAATCCGTTATGCTGGGCGTTGTGAAACACTTGTTATAGGTCTGGTACAGTCCCAATGAAAATAACCATATCGATTTATAAAGTATAGTCATTCGAAGGGTGACAAAATGAAATTTTTTACATCTTTGGGAAAGGGGGTAATATATCTGCAGGAAATTTGAACATCAAAGCTTGGGCACTGTGCTGCTTACTTAAAAACTACACAAAAAAGACTGAGTTTTTTTGCCTGGATTTTGAGAAAATTTTTTATCATTCAAAGTGCATTTCATTTTAAATTAAAACTGGGTCTCACCCATAAATAAAACAACCAAGACGGGAGCAACTTTAAATCGTGAACTGTCTTAGAGCAAAAATGGCATTGACTAACACTAGCACTCTGAGGAAACACCAACTGGCTACATCTTCAGGCGACCCGAGCGGAATGCTCTTAAAGTTGTCAGTGAGTCAGTGTCTACATTTGTTTTGTATAATACGACTTTGTCCCAGGTGATCTTCTTTTGTGATTGTTAAATGCTGAGCTACAATGATTCACCGCATCGTTAGCGGAAAAGGGGTGATTTTCCTGCCTAGTAGGAATACATTCATCAGGTCTCTAGTGTTTTGTGGAATTGCTGGGGAAACAGAGACAGCCAATGAGTCACTGTTATTGTCTCTTACAAGAAAGTCTACGGGTCTCGGTGTGAAGTTACATGGGCACCATAAGCTTCCGACAAAACTTTTGTCATCATATGCTGAAGTCATTTTGCCCAGGTCTAGCCTGCTTGCTTGAGAGACAAAGGCCAGCTCAATATTGAACGAACTTTTTTCCCCAAAGAATGAATGAAGCGATTGTGCGACACGGTTGAACGTCGCATCGAAACATGCGGCATGAATAACCGAAAATACATTCACGACTGATCAAAGCAAAAATTACGATTCTGCCCAATCCCGAAACTGTCAACATTGCAAGTCAACACAAAGAGCTGGTTCCTAGAGAATGCAGCCAAGTAGAGCATTTTTCAGGAGCTGCGCTACTGTCTCAATGTCCATTATTTTTGTCGTTTCCGTCGCTTACTTTATAACCTTTTTCTTTTTCCTCCGGGATGCTGAAGGACGCCGGACACTCCTTAATGGTGGGCTTGGTCATGCCGCACGGCTTGTCAACTTTGCCCGTCCGAGGTAGCGTGGACGCAACCCCCGGGGTTGGGGTGACAGAAGCCACTGGTTTGTCCAAGGATCCGCCGAAGGCGGTCCGGGCGGGTAGCCGGGTGCTGTCCAACAGCTGAGAGAGGTATCCTGGGGCGTGCTCTCGATCTTCAGTACTTGGCGTGGTTGGGATCGCCATCGGGTCGGAGGACACGGTGGTAGGAGGCTCGTATGCCAGCTGGGTGGGCAGGGGCAAGGGCTCCATGTCGAGGGCGGTTGTCGTCGACTCCTGATACTCGACTCGTGGTCTCCTCTGCGTCTGCGGTCGCTTCCCTTTGGCGTTCAGGGCCCAGCATCCCATCACAACGGCCACGACAAGTAACAGAACGACGAGAGCCCCGAAGACGGTGAGAATGATCAGGAAGAGATCGCTCTTAAGGATGCTGGGGACTTCCTCTTTGACTTCTGGGCCGTCTGGAAGGGCGGGGACGCTAGGGATGAAATCAATACGTATCCCTTCGGTTGAGACAGTCGGTGGGACGTATATGGGCGTGACGACCATCTGAACCGATGCGCTCTCTGCGATGCCCGTAGAAGTGCTAGCTTCACAGGAGACCTCAATTTGGTTGTGGGCTTGCTTCACGTCGTGGATGGTCAAAAGTTGCCTCTGATTAGCAAAGGAAATCCCGGCCTGGCCCTCGGAGATATGCTTGCCAGCGACGCGCCACGAATACGAGGCCACATGAGGGATAGCACTACCCTCGCAGTGGAAGGTTGCGTTGTCTCCGGGTATGATCATTCGAGTCAAGGGTCTGACCTGGACGACAGGAAGAATCCTCATGGGCATGACAGAGCATCTCCTTGGCTCCCGCAGAGCCGGGCTGGTCGCTACGCAAGTGAAGCGTACCCCATTGTCTTCCGGGAGCAGTATCCTGGGGTAGACGATGTTCGACGGCTGCGGTTCCAAGATGGTGCGGTTGGTCCGCAGCCACTGTAGCAAAGCTGGTGGGTCGCCGCCCGAAGACTGGCAGGTGAACTCGGCACCGTCTCCAGGCCACAGCGTGCTCGCGGCCTTGGACGACTTGGACTCTGCCCGCACATTACATAGTGGGTACCTGGCAGGTGGTGGCACGTACACTGTCATGGTGGCTGGTGGTGAGGACTTGCCTCCCGCCAAGCCGATGTACGAACACCGGTAATGGCCGCCGTCCTCTTTCTTGACATTTGCTATCGTGAGATCGTACTCGCCAACACTCTGGTTTCCGCTCAGGGAGTACCGTGACCGAGTATCGTTGTCCAGACTATCCGCCAAATCGCCGCCAAAACTCAAATGTGTGTTTCCTTTGGACCAGTACTGCAAGGTGTCGAGGGTGCTGTGTGCCGTACATCGGAAGGTGACTGTGTCCCCGGCGATGGCAGATATGTTTGCCGGCAAGACGGTGAACATGGCTTCTGTTTTTGGGGTCAAAACTATCGCCACTACGGCAAAAATCAGCTGCAGTTCAGGCAGCGACATTGTCACTGTCATTGTGTGAAACCTGGTCGTGTTCACAATAAGGCTAGTCAACAAACTTGCGCAGATAAAAAATCCCAATTTTTTAGACGTTTGCTCGTGGGACTCTACAGTGAAAATGGCGGGCTTGGCGCCTGACAGACGTATTATAGACACACTGCGCGCATTCACCTTCGGAACATTTGAGTCACAACGCCGTGAGGTATAGAACGTAAAGTTCCTGCTGAGTTCACCAGCCAATGGCCGACTGCTTCGTCACGCGGTTCAGGAACTGGCGATGATTAACGAATGGGCACAGGTTGACAGGCCGGCCCCGTTGCCCTCTTGTCAGGACTGTTGGACTGCACAGCAGAAAAGGGCGAGCGAAGGAGAAAAACAGCCCAGGCAAGGCTAATCGAATTAGTCTGTTTCCTACAGTAGTCAGAAGGCCGATGTCATGGGACACCGGCTCGTGTTAAAAATAGCCCCAACGCCGGGAATAAGAAGTAAAGTTGTTGTGGATACAACTTCAAAACTTTGGGAAAGAAGGAAAACTGGTTACGTCAAGATTCAAGTCCCCCCTCCGAACCCGCCCTTTCCTTCCATCATCCTTGGTTCGCTACACGCTCAGGGGGAAATCGGCAGGGACTTTTTTTAAAGAAAAACATGCCATAAGTCATTGTTCAAGGCCACTCCAGACTTCGAGAATGATATAGTGATATCTTCAGGTTAGTCTGGCGAGAATATCAGTTGCGTTGAAAAAGAAAAGAAAAGATTAATTAAATGCTGAGCAAAACAAAACAACCGCCAAATGCCTTTACTAAGTGATGACCGTTAGATAAACCTTTGTCACGTTCATATAGCACTTAAACCATCATATCAGAAAGCTCGCAGTTTTAAATGATTATACCAGAAAAAAATATTCAGGGCCTTAATTTTAATATATCCAATTTCATTCATTTTTAATGAATAATTTAGTACACTTTCTGCAACTTTGAAGAAAAGCAGGGAAATAGTTACTTTCAAATGAAAACTGAAGACCTTTAGATAGCTTTAATTGAAATTCTAGGTGTATTTTAAAAGATGAATTTCCTCACACTTCTTTTTTTTGTTCATGAAACAAACAAGCTAAGGTGGCCGAGTAAAATTAAGATTTTTTTTTCACGGAAATGTTAGACCTCTATACCCAAAGTTTGAACCTGTGTGGGTGTGTGTGTGGGGGTACCGTATTTACAAACTTAAAATTTATTTTCCTTGACACGTTAATCTACCCTGATTACTCATTCTGTAAGTCACTTAAGTCGGTTGTCCACCCTTCATAAAGATAAAGCAACAAGTGGTATCACACTATCTTAACTCCATGCTGCGTTATGCATTCAATCAGGGGGTTCCTTTAATGAGAAATGGCTATACGTAGGCAACAGGTCAGTGGCGGATACTGACAAGATGACCCTCCTTTGTCGGCTTCAAACTTTGTGGTGAGGTGATACAGATCTCATCACACAGGTCTTCCTCAGCCGTTTTTCCTGGGACTCTCTCACAGTTGGTATATAGGGCCGGGGATTCCTCCCCCAGGGTTTCGATTATCCCAAACTTTTTAAAGCTTGGCAAATTGTGGACGCATCTGTAAAGTTCCACGTAACCAACACAGGGTCTGTCGGTACGATCATTTACAAACACCTGCACGCAGCTCATCAGAGCGTGTTCATTGGAAGCAGAGGGGAAAGTTTGCTTGACCTCCAACTTTAGAAAGCGGGCATTTGGGCTGGACTGTTCACGATGTGTTCTGCGGACAGTCTATAGCATAAAAAGGGCAACACTATACTGGAGAAACTGCATGACGCGTTGGTTTCTGCCTGGGTCTTTTCGAGTCAACAGATCTACGGTTGAATAAGATATGCCCGTAATAATCACTCCTTTTAAACCCTGAGTTCACATTTACACAATGGGCGTAAATCCCCGGGGAGAAGGGATAGGCCTATAATCCTCCCCACATTTTTACCAGGGGGATATGAGCTATTAGAACCATCTCCAAGAATTTTTCAGACTTCCAAACAACCAAAATGTATTCAGTAGCACTCAAAAAGGGAGAACATTTCAAAAATAAACACGGGCGTTTCACCATAGTGCGCCTCCAAGAGTTTGCAACGCGTTGGCCAATCACAATGCGCGAAATCTGTTGACCCAGTACGCGTTTGGAAAGGGTCGACAAATTTTGCGCGTTGTCATTGGCCAACGCGTTGCAAACTCTTGGAGGCGCACTATTGTGAATCGCCCGTATTGAAATACGCCATTTCTTTGAAGGTTCTGCTGGAGTGTCATGTATTACAGATGTACATCTGTATTACGAACATCACTCCAGCCTTGTCATAAACTTTGGTGTCAGCACCCCCCCCACACACACACTTTTCGAATGTCCATGGCGGGGTAAGTCATCCCCACAATCCCCCATCCCACCAGTTCCCGCCAGAAATTTATGCCACTGATATGCAGAGAGGTATATACTTGTACCAACCCTGCCCACGCCACTAAAACGCCTTCATCGATTGCAAAGGGCACTTCACTTTCACCCAATTTTTTTTTGCTGTGAACATATGAGTTTTCTGTATTTAAAAATAATCGAAATATGAGAGTTGTCAAAAGGCTCGCTAAATTTTGGAAAATGTCCTCTGCAAGTGTTAATTAAATAATTATCCATAACAGAATGTCTATTTTTTCCTCTATTAACTTTCCTTCTAAGAAAACCTTATTGTTTCGTTTTTATTTCATGTTGTACCTTTTTATTTGAGAAAATAGATACAAGAGTAATCACTATCATATACCCCTCCCCGTGAGAAGTCTCCAGGCCCTCTAGCGTTTGTTTTCACTCCGACCTTCCAGTAGGTGACCTTGAAGCATGGGCGGATCAGTTTTTGAATCAGGGAGCCTGAGGAAATGTCAACTCTCGCAACGAAAGAACGGAGGAAACAGCCGAATGGGATGGAAAATTATAGCGAAGGACAAAATGAAATGTGTACACACACCGGACGCTCGCAGAAAAAAAATGAATCTTTGAAGTCAACCAAAGAAAGCGTGGTGATCGTCCCTTTGGTCGAAGTTTCCTTCACCGAAAGTGAACTGAGGATTGAAATCACTCAGGGTTTACCTTTGAACGTTTAATGCCAGCGTCGTAGCATTCCAAAATATGCATGTCCAGAAGATTTGGGGGTCAGAATGAACTTACCCTGGATGATGTCTACACGGAACCCAATCCTCCCCTACCAATCAGACAATCTATAAACCTGAAAGTGGTCAATTTCCTCAAAGGGTGGGAGAAAAGGTCAGCCAAGTCCGCGAAAGGTGTTTCGCCATGCTCCCTCAATTAACGCTTCAACAGTTTCAGCAGTAGAGGTCAAGCAACCACGCAATTGCTCAGCATGTATTTGAATGGATCATTTTTTATACTGAATGGATGATGAAACCCAGTGTGTGGGGTTTATGGGCGTCGCCAGCATTTTCTTCGGGGGGGTCAAAGAACCCATAAGCAACGAGCTGATAAATCATAAACAATGTGTAAGAGGGTCAACTCCGAGGGTTTTTGTCTTCAAAAAAATTGGTGATTTTCATCCCCTTACATCTCTCTCCCTTCATTTTTTTCTGTACTTTTCTTTGTTTACTTTTTGGGGCAAGCACCCGCCTTGTCCCCTGTCGCGATGACCTTAGTGGGATTCGAACGTTGGACCCCATGATCCGCTGTTCTCAGGGTGCGTAACTGTGCCTGTAGAAAAAAGATGAGTCTTTTTACTATATTTTACATTCTTAATGTTTCTGGTTGGGAGCTGGCTCCAAAAGCGGTGCGGCGACGTGGATTTGTTTTTTACCCTCACTTTTTTTCTGGAAATGATACACGTACCGGTATAACGCGCGATGGCCATCGCGACTACATGCGCATGCACACGTAATGTCTGCCACTTCTAACACTAAAATAGACTGGCCCGAACTTTTTACTATTATAAAGCATTTTCAGATTGTACATGTACACAGGACATTTGACCACCTCGTTTGTATGGTTTCCAGATGTAAATGTATAATTCAATGACGTCATCTGAAAAAGAGTGCCCGACTAAGTGTATGGGGAACAAGAGGGACTCCTACACAGGACATTAGTCAATCATACCCCGTTAAAAAAACGTATACAGTTACGCAGTAGCAGGATTCCAGTTGATCAAGCAAGTTTGGCAGCTTTTGGTCATCGTTTATACCAAATACAAATCTTTTTTAATTTGCCGACGCGCTGGTCTCTGGCAACGCGCGTGCTGACCAGAAACCTGAAACGTTTGGGGGCCTTACCTGGTTATTGGGTTTTATGTCATAACTGTACCAGATTTTATGGTGAATTTACCTTTATTTGAATTTTGATTTTAAACAATCAGTTTCTCAGACACTAAGTAACTCAGTAATAACAATAATATATGCTGAAGCTTGACTGTTTATCCCCAATCAATGAATATCGCAATTTATAAGTGAATTTTTCCAGTACACTTCAAACAGATTTTTTTCCATGATATGCTGTTGGTTTGTGAAAACATTCCCATTGAAACACAATACGTGTAGTAGGATTAAACGTAAGATTATGTTTAAAGGACTGTCATTAAACAGGAAAGCAGAAATCTCTTTCGCTGGATTTAAATTTCATTTTAAAATTTTTTTAAAAATTTTAAAATTTTTCATTTTAAAAAATTTCATTTTAAACTTACAAATGTAGAAAGTACTGTTTTCTAAAATGATAAGCAAACAAGGCACAGATAGGTTTCACTGTTTTCTAGAAAATTAAGCCTCACCCCCGATGCAATATGCAGAAAAAAGCCACAGTTTGTTTGACTTTGGTGGTTAACAAAAGCAAGAAATCAGAAAGTCAATGGTAATTTGAAATATGGTCCAAGTAGTTTTGATAAAAAATGAGGATTCGAAACTCTTATATGCCCTTTTAAAATCTAAACATTCAAAGAGTCTGCAAAATTTTCTAGAAACTGTGAAATCCAAAATTCAGTGTTCAAACTGTAGTCTGTTTAAGTTAATTTCGAAAGGTATAGTTTCCTGGCTTGAGTACTACTTAAGGCTCAAAATTAGCACCTAAGAATTATAAAGAATTTCTGTGTTGTACTTATCAGTTTAGAGTTTAACTTGGCTAGAGGATTATAAAACACCACATATCTTGTAAGACATGCTTTAAGACATTGTTTTTGATTAAACCAGTTTTACTTGATTTAATTGGACTTTCTGACGGGGGGAGGCTTACGTTTTGCAAGAACAAAGAATTTAAAACTCCCGATTCCACTGCTTTGAAAGCTCCTAACTATATGTATCTTGATTGTGACACTGCGTACAGCCATGG